GAAGGGTGGTAGAGAGTGTCGAGTACACCCAGGAGCAAGGCTATAGAGCTGTGCTTGCTGCAAGTCCAGTCCTGAGTGAGTGACCACTGGGAGCTTGTTTGCTGCTTCTCAGTCTCATCCCTTCTCCATTGACCTTTCCTGTAAATTCCAGACTCCTAGACCTGGGAAAGTGAGCATGATAGTGCTCTTCCCACACACCCCCCTCCGGTTGTGGGGCTTGAACTCTGGGCTTGGATGCTATCCCTGTGCTCCTCAGCTCAAGGCAGTGCTCTACCACTTGAGCTACAAGCCACTTCCGGTTTACTAGTGGTTTATTGGAGATAAGAGTCTCACAGACTTTCTTGCCTAGGCTGGGCTGGCTTTGAATCTCAATCCTCAGATCTCAGCCTCCTGACTAGCTAGGATTACAGGCATGAGCCACCGGTGAAGGTTGATAAGCTACCTAGTCTAGTTTGATTGTGGAAACATTACTATGGTAATACTGTCGGCAATTTGCTTTTGGGAAATAGTTTATGGGTAAACTTTGACTTGCAGTCTGTGTTAAGCATTTACTTGTAATGAAACATTTTGCAAGACTAACCATGCTGGGGCTGGGAAGGTGGCTCAGTGGTAGAGTGCTTGCCTTACATGCATGAGGCCCTGGGTTCGATTCCTTAGCACCACATAAGCAGAAAACCCTGGAAGTGGCGCTGTGGCTCCAGTGGTAGAGTGCTAGCCTTGAGCTGAAGAGCTGAGGGACAGTGCCCAGGCCCAGAGTTCAGGCCCCATGACTGGCAGAAAAAAAAAAGACTAACCATGCCTGGGATGTATGAGAGAACATTTTTAACAGTTTCATTAGCTGAATGATTGCCAATCAATCTGTGATCTGAGGATTCAAAGCCAGCCTGAGCAGGAAAGTCCATGAAACTCTTTTATCTCTAATTAACCACCAGAAATCCAAAAGTCGCTCTGTATCTCAAGTGGTAAACCACTAGCCTTGGGCAAAAGAGCTCAAGGAGGGGCTGGGAAGGTGGCTCAGTGGTAGAGCACTTGCCTTGCATGCTCGAGACCCTGGGTTCGATTTCTCAGCACCACATAAGCAAAAAGCTGGAAGTGGCGCTGTGGCTCAAGTGGTTGAGTGCTAGCCTTGAGCTGAAGAGCTGAGGGACAGCGCCCAGGCCCAGAGTTCAGGCCCCACGACCAGACCCCCCAAAAAAAAAGATCTCAAGGACAGCACCTAGGCTCTGAGTTCAAGCCTCACAACAGACCAAAAGAAAAGACAAAAGAAAAAAAGGCTTTTAAGTATCTTGTTTTGGTTCTTTTTAGGGAAATCTGCGTTACTGGTTGGAAGAGGCAGAATGCAGAGATCAATATAGTGTGATTTTTGAGAGTGGAGACCGTACATCCATATTCTGGAATGATGTGAAAGATCCTGTGTCAATTGAAGAGAGAGCAGTATGTATCAACCACACTTACCTCCTGTTTTTCTGAGTGGCACTTGGCTTCCATGAGAAACTCTGGAAAACAGATGGCTTGCTTCTTCTGAGGTTCCTCTCAAAACAAGTTTTGAAATCTATATAAGTTCAGCTAGACTCACTGGGGAAGGCTTGGTCTTAGTATCATAACATTCCCACTCCCCTCTTCACAGAGATGGACAGAGACGTACGTCCGTTGGTCCCCGAAGGGCACCTACCTGGCTACCTTTCATCAGAGAGGTATTGCTCTCTGGGGAGGAGAGAAGTTCAAGCAGATCCAGAGATTCAGCCACCAAGGGGTCCAGCTTATTGACTTCTCCCCTTGTGAAAGGTGAGCTGGGGTAGGCGGGATGACAAGTACCTGGATTTATACAGATAACTTTGTGTGTGCCAGTACTGAGGCTTGAACTTATGGCTTAGGCATTGTCCCTTAGCTTTTTTACTCAAGGCTGCCCCTCTACCCCTTGAGCCATAGCTCTACTTCCAGCTTTTTGGTGGCTAATTGGAGATAAGAGTCTCATGGACTTTCTGGGCTGACTTCAAACTGGAAACCTCAGATTTCAGCCTCCTGACTAGCTAAGATTACCAGTGTGAGCCACTGGCACCCAACTAGAACCAAGTTATCTCCACCTCAAGTATGCATTCCAAGGAACAGGAAGCTGAGTCATACAGCCACTTTGTAAACTGAGTGTTGATTTAGCACTTGATTTTCAGGTACAGACATATTCCAGTGTCTTCATGTGGTGTGACAATGTGACATGACAATCAGAATAGGATCTTGTCCAAGGACTTTTTTTTTTTTTTTTGGCTGGTCATAGGGCTTGAACTTTGGGCCTGGATGCTGTCCCTCAGCTCTTCACCTCAAGGCTAGCCACAGCACCACTTCTGGCTCTTTCTGCTTATATGATACTGAGGAATTGAACCCAGGGCCTCATGCATGCAAGGCAAGCTCTCTACCACTGAGCCACCTTCCCACCCCCAGGACTAGATCATTTTTGTGCCAGTCCTTTTTCCTGGGAGGATTTTTTTCACTTGTGTATGGGAGGTGGGGCGGGGATGCAGCAGGGGAGGGGGCAGGGAGGTAGATGGAAAGAGCCCCCAATGAGGCTCACAGCGTGACCCTGAGCTCTGTGTCAGTGGCCCAGGGCCCACCTCAGATCTTCCCTGCCTCTAGCTCTTCCTCTCAGCCCTGACTGATATTGCTGGCTGTGCAGCAGGGGACTTGGTACCCTGCAGTTTGTGACTGTGGCCTGCTGGCTGAGAGCTCTGTGTATATCATGCTTCTGCATCCATTACATGGCAATTCTTCTGAGACTCTTAGCTTAGTGTTGCACATGGAAAACTGACCAAGGACACAGGGTCAGTGTCTTTTATCTGTTTAGGGCCAGAAATAGATTTGGATTTGGGTAATCTTCAGATTTCATAATATTTGCCTATATATAATGAGATAGCTTGGGATTAGAATCCAGGTCTAAACAAAGTTCATTCCTATTTCTGGAGTAATTGTTGTTATTGTTCGTGATGCTAAGAATCAAACCCGGGGCCTTAAATAGTATGACAGGCAAGTGCTGTGCCACTAAGCTACATCTCAGCTCTCATAATATTTTTAGGTACATTGCTGTGGGTGACTTGATAGTGTCTTTAATGTGGCTCTGTTTTGGTAGGGCTCGTCTCAGAAACCCACCTGTTTTGTTGTGTTGGTCCTCAAAAACATATTGTTCACATCTTTCTCTACAGTTTGAACAGAGACTGAACTATGGCTCATTGCTAGATCCCTGGTGCAGGAGATGTTAGATGCGTGGGTGCATGGATGCTTGGCTGCAGAGGGAAAAGTGTTTTTCCCATTAAGACTTGCATTGTCAGTGTCTGGTTTCATCTGGCTGTTCAGATAAAGTGCTAGGAATCTACCCGGCCATGGGAAGACCCAAAGGATCTGTGGAGGGCAATTGCAAGGCTGCTCCCCCTTTTCTGTTGTGCTTCCTTCTGCCTTCCCAGGGGCAGTCTGCCTTCAATGTGTGCACCTTGTGAAAAGGACACAGGTGTGATTTGTGCCAACAGGCAGAGCCTAGTATGTGATTGCTGGGGAAGTCCCCAGATGTGGCGTCCTCCTGGAAGGACACTCGCCACAGTGCCATATGTGGCCATCTGGTCTGTTCACGTCATTGGTCTCAATTATTCAAAGTGAAGAAGGTAGGTGCCTCCTTCTAGATCTTCCCACTTAAGCAGAATTGTTTGGAGTGTCACTTTTGGTGGAGGTACCATTCTGTGACCCTTGCAGAGGCCACAGTGCTTCCCCTGGGCTTGGTATTCCAATCCCCTCTCTCACCTCCTACCCTCCTTTTTGATACTGGGGTTTGAACTCAAAGCTTAACACTTGCTAGGCAGGCACTACACTTGAGCCATGCTTCCAGTCATCTGCTTCCTACTTTGAGGGGTCATAGAGCATCCTCTGGGGAGTGTTGTGTGGGGGAAAGGGCTGACTCCAAGAGTTTTATTAGTTGCTTGTTACGGCAGGGCATCATACCTGTGACCTATATTGGTCTGTGATGTAGTTTGGCATTTACTGTGTGCATGTGGAGAAGACTTTTTTCAGGAGGATGCTGTAGGCTATTAGCCAATGTGGTGATGTGTGCCTGGGGCTCAGGCAGGAGAATCTTGTTCCTTGCTAGCCTAGGCTACATAGCAAGATTCTCCCCACCCCCTCCCCAACACTCCTATACTAAGTGTTCCCCTCTCTTACAGATACTTGGTGACATTTAGCCCCTTGATGGATACTCAGGATGACCCTCAGGCCATCATCATCTGGGACATCCTTACTGGGCACAAGAAGAGAGGTTTCCACTGCGAGAGCTCAGCCCATTGGCCTATTTTCAAGTGAGTAGACCTGTTCAGGTGATGGCCTGTGTGTAGCCTTTTCCCTTGTTGGTGCAGCCTGGCACATCTTGCCTTGTCTTGTCAGATGGAGCCATGATGGTAAATTCTTTGCAAGGATGACCCTCGATACCCTTAGCATCTATGAAACACCGGTGAGTGACACAGTTCATCTGCGGGTGAATAGCCTGGTGATTGTGTATAGTTGGCATTGTGTGTGCCATTCACCAGCATTGGCCCAATCAATGTATCTGTGCTCCCTAGACAAACTCATTGTAGAATCTTGGTGCTGTTGATTATTCCAAAATGTGGGATCTATAACTGAGACATTGTCCGGCTTTACCCAGCTATGTCCCTTGTGTTTTTGGACAGTCTATGGGCCTTTTGGACAAGAAGAGTTTGAAGATCTCTGGAATAAAGTAAGTCAGTGTTTCTTTCAGTTGGTGTGGGGGTGCTGTGGCTGTAACAATACCCCAAATGGGTCAGCTTCACACCAGATGTGTGTTCCTCTGTGTGGAGATAAGTTGACTGCCAGGCTTCCTTCCACATGGGCCTTTATCCTCAGCTCTCTGGAGCCTTATAAGCACACAATTCATTCTTGAGGTCCCTACCACATGCTGTCATCTTGGGAGTTGGAATTGCTATGGGAATTTTGTAAGGCTCTGACCAGGCACCATTCCCTTTTCTTGAGACCAAAAGCCAATCTTAAAGACAACAGTCTTCCTTAGAGCATGCCTGCAGACTTGTGGGTGTTGAGTCTTCTGCTGCTCTGGTGACCTGTAAGGTGCCAGAGACTTTTGGCTCAGCCGTGGTGTCCTAGTTTCTATTTATCTGAAGATTTTGGGAGCTAGGCAGGCTTGGGATATTGATCTACCAGCCTCCAAGGACACTGATGTAGCAGCTTTTATGTTCACATTTTTGGGCACAGTTTGGGTTTATAATTAAAAATAAAACCAGGACACTGACTAAGCAGATGCAAGCCAGAATGCCACCTGTAGTGGAGCACTCTCTAATCTCAGCTTCCCTAAAGGCTGAGAAAAGGGATGATTGAACTGGGAGCTGGTGGCTCACATCTGTAATCCTAGCTACTCAGGAGGATGAGGATCACAGTTCAGAGCCAGCCTGGGCAGGAAAGTCTGTGAAAGTCATCACCAATAAACTACCAGAAAATCGGAAGTGGTGCTGTGGCTCAAGTGGTAGAGCACTAGCTTTGAGCTAAAGAGCTGAGGGACAGTGCCCAGGCCCAGAGTTCAAGTCCCACGACTGACAAAAAAATAAAGGTGATTACTGAAGCCTATTTAGGCAACATGGTGAGACTGTTTCAGAAAAACAAAATTGGACATAAAGAGCAAAACAAGGCCTTGGTGCTGGTGGCTCAAACTTGTACTCTTAGCTATTCAAGAGGTGTAGAAAAAATTGTAGTTCCAGGCCACCTTAAAACACAAGACGTAATACAAAAGGCTAGGCATAGTGGTGTGTGCCTATAAAGTGTGGCAGGCATGTCTTAAGTGGTAGAGCACCTGCCTGGCAAGCACAAAACCTGAGTCCAATCCACCTACACAAAAGTACAACACAGATAAAGATGTTTCTTGCTTAGTTCGTCTCACAGATTGCCCGTTACAGTACCTATCTTGGCTCTTCTCTGTCCTCTTATATTTTCTGGCTTGGGGCTAAACCTTCATTGACCTTTAGACATTGTGGAGCTAGAGCCACTCATTACTCCCCCCTCCCCCCCAGCCTTAGCCTTACTGTGCTGTCATGTGTTCTCAGAATATGGCAGTGAGAATGTGGGCTGGGGTGCTGCATATTAGGTGGGGAGGATGGACTGACATCTGCAGCAGCACTTGGCTCTGTGCTAGCTGTGAGGATATGGGTGTGTGGTAGGGGATCAGTGTGCCAGGGTTGAGCTTTCACTCATATGGAGCTCCTATGTTCCATAGTTGCATAGTCTTGGTAATGATGCGTGTTCTTTGTCCTGCAGAGACTTCTCTTGGTCTCCTGGTGGTAATATAATCGCCTTCTGGGTCCCAGAAGACAAAGATATTCCAGCCAGGGTGACCCTGATGCAGCTTCCCAGCAGACAGGAGATTCGAGTGCGGAATCTGTTCAATGTGGTAGACTGCAAGCTGCACTGGCAGAAGAACGGAGATTACTTATGTGTCAAAGTCGATAGGACTCCCAAAGGCACCCAGGCAAGTAGATGTCAATGGTGCATGTTGCCTTCAGGATGCATCAGCTTGACTGGCCCATTGGAGAAGATGGTGGATGTGTAAGTGGGTCTGGCCCCACCTGACATTCTGTATGCTGGTGACACTCTGTAGGTGAAGGGTGGAGGTGGCCTCCGCAGAGGCCTGAATCTGGGCTCAGTGTTGAACTAGAGACTGAGATAGAGGTTTCTCCTGCATGTTAATCCTGTTTGCAATCGCCTTTTGACTAGTTAACACAGTGCTGTGTTTGAGCAAGATAATGTCTATACCCAACCCCTTTCCTGTTGCCTGTTAGAAGGAATATAGTATTTTCCTTTTAAACACTGAGTAGTTTTTACACTCAGACTTGGTTTCATTCTTTTTGTTGTTGTTGTTGGTTGTGGGGCTTGTACTCTGAGCCTGGGCGCTGTCCTTCAGCTCCTTAGCTCAAGGCTAGTGCTCTACCACTTGAGCCACAGCACCACTTTGGGATTTTGGGGAGTTTATTAGAGATAAGAATCTCACTGACTTTCCTGACCATGCTGGCTTTGTACTATGATCCTTAGATCTCAGCCTCTTGAGTAGCTAGGATTACAGGTATAAGCCACGAACACCTGGCCTAATTTTCCTAATTCTTTTTTTTTTCTTTTTTTCTTTGTCAGTCGTGGGCCTGAACTCTGTGCCTGGGCGCTATCCCTGAGCTCGTCAGCTCAAGGCTAGTGCTCTACCACTTGAGCCACAGCACCACTTCTGGCATTTTCTGCTTATGTGGTGCTGAGGAATCAAACCAGGGCCTCATGCATGCAAGGCAAGCACTCTACCACTGAGCCACCTTCCCAGCCCCCTAATTCTTATTTTTAAATGTGTAAACTTTTCTTCTAATAGAAGTATTTCTCTTTGCTTTACTTTTTTTCCTCTTTTTGTCCTGGGCTTGAACACTGTCCCTGAGCTTTTACTCAAAGCTAGCACTCTACCACTTGAGCCACAGCACCATTTCCAGCTTTTTCTGTTTATGTGGTACTGCAGAATTGAACCCAGGGCTTCATGCATGCTAGGCAAGCACTCTACCACTAAGCCACATTCCCTGCCCCTCTTTTGTGTTTTTGGGAATAGAGTGTTAGGATATTACTATCCAATGATGGTCTCAAAATCACAATCCTCCTACCTCTGCCTCCCAAGTGATGGGATTACATCTGTGAGTCACCTTGCCTTTCCCCACCCCCACCCCTACCCCCCTTTTTTTGGGGGGGTTGGTCGTGGGGCTTGAACTCTGTGCCTAGGTGCTATTGCTCAGCTCTTCAGCTCAAGGCTAGCACTCTACCACTTGAGCCACAGCGCAACTTCCAGTTGTCTGGTGGTTTATTACAGACTTGAGTTGGCTTTGAACTATGATCCTCAGATCTTAGCCTTCTGAGAAGCTAAGATTACAGGCATGAGCCACCAGCACCTGGCCCTACCCCACCCCCCTTCTTTTTTCTTGATATGTAATTCATGTCCCAAAAAATTTAGCCTTTAATGTGGTAGGTCAACTCAGTGATCTTAGGTGCTTCCACTAGAAAGATGCTCCATGTGGAAGGAAACACATTCCACTTCTCTACATGCCCTAGAGCCCTTCTTACTGCCCAGCCACCAGGCTGCACATCTTGTCCTACACATGTTATACTGTATATTCTGGCTCATGCAGGCTTTTACTCTCCCGTCTTCATCGTTCTTTACATTATAGCATGATAGCATTCCCTCTTGTTTGTGACTGGGTGGTATTCCATTGTATGGTTAGGCTGTGTGTGTATTGGTGGGCATTTACTCACATCTATTGTGGTGTGTAGTGTAGCACCTGCTTTCTAAAATGGGCTCCTTGAAGACTGATAGGGTTGTTACCTAGTATCTAAGTATTTTAGTCCCCACTCAACTGAATGCCTTGAAAATTGGCAGATGAGCTGTGGTGAGCATCCTTGATCTCCAGTGCAAGCGTAGAATGTAGCCAGTAAGTAGGGGGATGTTTCTGTGATAGGCCTATGCCAGGTGACCTGCCAGCACCCAGGAGCAGCACTTTCTCAGCAGCTCTAGACTCCACACTTACAAGCTTTTACATAGTCCTAATGTGGTCCTTCAGGTCTTTCCCTCATTCTTTCAAATTTCCAGAATGTCACTCTCCTCTGACCTCTTTCTTTTAACAGGGTGTTGTTACAAATTTTGAAATCTTCCGAATGAGAGAGAAGCAGGTGCCTGTGGATGTGGTTGAAATGAAAGGTGCGTTGGTTTTGGTCAGGTGCAGGGAAGTAGACCTTGGTGCCTGGTTTTACTTTTTGTTTACTTTTTGGTGCCAGTCCGTAGGCTTGAACTCAGGACCTGGGTACTGTCCTTGAGCTTTCTTTTTCTTTCTTTTTTTTTGTCATGGGGCTGAACTCAGGGCCTAGGTGCTGTCCCTCAGCTCTTCAGCTCAAAGCTAGCACTCTACCACTTGAGCCACAGCGTCACTTCTGGTTTACTGGAGGTTAATTAGAGGTAACAGTCCCATGGACTTTCCTGTGGCTTTGAACCACAATTCTCAGATCTCAGCCTCCTGAGTAGCTAGGATTACAGGTGTGAGCCACTGGCACCCGGCTTCAAAGAACTTCTTAATAAAAATTTCTAGGTATAGA